TTTTTCCCCTTGTGGATAGCAATGGAGTTTCTTTTTTTTTTTTTTTTTTTTTTTAAAGTAAAAAAAAAAGTAAAAAATAATAATTAGAAATGTAAAAAATAGAAAGGCGTTTAAATTAAAAATAATAAAACAAATTAAAAAATTTATTCGTATGGCCTGACGCCCGGGACATTTAGTTGCGGGCGCCGGGCAAGTTTTTTCCCCCACTGTTTTAGCCCTGCTACGGACAAGTAGCAGGGCTGGTTTTCTTAAATGAGTGGCGAGAGCGGCGCTGCGAGCGGGAGGCGTGGATGGGGGGCGGGGACGAAGCGTGGAGCGCTGAGAGCGGGGGCCGTGGAGTAGTGATGGAGCAGTGACAGGCTCTGTCACCTCCCTCAGCCTCTGTCCATGGCGGCCGCTGCTCGTTCCTGTTACAGGAGTTCTAGCCTAAATTTAACAAAGTAAATAAAAATTGAAAAAATGAAAACCAGCCCCACTGCCCCCATCTGCATGCGAATAAACATTCAGTGTTTTCAACTGCAATCGTGTGCAACTGCACGGGCAGTATTGCAGCAGGAAAACGCGCGACTGGGGTGCTATTAGAAAATAATGGCACTGCCAGCGCAATCGGCAGTGGTGTGCGATCAGTGACTACCCGGTCATCGTGCACGAAACCGAGCGGATGGCTGGGTGGTCACAGAATCGCACACAACCGCCGATTGTGCTGTCAATGCCATTATTTTCTAATGGCACCCCAGACGTGCCAGGCAGATTGCGTGTTTTCCTGCTGCAATACCGCCTGGGCGATCCCACACGATCACGGTTGAAAACACTGCGCGGTGCATGTCGTAAAAATGGGTACATCTACCTTTTTTTCAGCAATTGCCACACAGATGTAACCCCATACATGCAGATGCAACCGCTGCATGCAACCGCACACGATCGCACGTCCCGGGTATCCGCACGTCTGCACCAACCCTGGAGGGTAAATTCACTTTCCCAAGTAGTTTGGGAAAATGAAATTACCCACACAAATCTCCCTCCCACTATACTTACCTTTCGGCGAACGGTCCTTCCCGTCCACCAGTACGGGTGTACTATCTGTACCTGTTTCATGTATTCTGAATTTCGCTCGCAAATTGCAAGCACTCGTTGGTCAACGCGGTCACCTGGCAGAACTGACCAATGAGAAGTGCTTCTTAGCACTGCTAAATATGGTTTTGGTTAAAATTATTTTTTTTGTATCAGGACAAGTAGATTGTCATGAGGGACAAGTAGATTCGGCCCCTGCTTTAGTCCTCGGACAAGTAGTTTTTAAAAAAATTTCCACACCCCTGCAATATCTTTTGTTTATACTTTTGTTTAATGGTTTTCAAGTTGAAATTGGGCATTTTGTTTTTAGACAGAAGAGATAAAAGAGGAAAGGGTTCCATCTCCAACTCCTGAACTACAGAGTGAAGAAAGTGACTTGGGTAAGCTAAATGACATACGATTTCTTTGTTATTCTTGATGGGTAGACTGATATGGATGAATGATGGCACCTATGGTTATGCTATTCCATAATTTAATCCATTATGTATTTGTAATAAGTCAAGTGCACCACTATATTCACTTCTGTGCTATATCTAACCTAGCCGTCCTGTGCAGCAAACATCAAGTAGCACTGTGACTTATCTTTACTAAATTTACTAAAACGGGAGCAGAGAACATCTGGAGCAGCTGTACCACACTGTGCACTCTGCTGAGAGGAATACGCGGCTCCACTCTCTGTAAGTACACAAAATCACCCATTGGAATGATTTCACCTTTATACTATAAGGGCTCATGCACATAAAGCGGAACTTCAAATCTTTTGTGCCAGCATATCTGCAATCTCCTTTAGACTGTACAGTGAGCTGCATATGTGCCGTGTATATTCTTCACACTGCTGTGCCAGAATGAATGAACTCCCATGCACATGTATGGGAGTTGCCTCATTCTTGCCCAGCCAGTCAAGATAACTGAAGATCCTGGACTCAGAAGACCAAGTAAGGATGTTCGCACCAGCAAGGGGAGGTAAGTTTTTAGTTCCTGCAAGTATAAGCTCGGTATTCCAACACCTTCTCCGCCCTGTTTTTGTTTATTGTAGGGCTGCAACAACTGATCGATTTAATCGAGGGACTTGATCATGAGGATCATTGTCAACGATTCTTATCGATTTTAGTTAATTCCGATTAGTAGAATCCTAACACACACACACCTGTCGCTGGGAGACGATGCATGCTGCAGCATGTGTCTCGTTCCATTAGAGGGCAACAGCAAAAAGCTTCCCAGCACACTCACCAGCCAGCATGCAAAAAAACCTGTCTAACCGCTGAGGTTAAAAGCAAAGGTTTTAGATACACGTCTTACGCAGAATATGTGAAAGCCGCACTGCCTCGTCAGGGCTTCTCTGTGTAGCACGTTCTTAACTCTAACCTATGAGAGCCTCCATCTTGTAGCACATGTAGCAAAAGATAAAATTGGGTGCATGTTCGCAGGGAGGCAGCCCAACCTCCCTAAAGGGACCCCGTACATCACAACGGCAGCCCCCCAGTGTGTTCGATTAGAGGGGACACAGAGCGCTGCAGCCGGTGCCCAGTGGGAAATGGAGACTGCTCTGCCCCAATCCTTCCACGCTGCCCCCGTGCCTCCTCATCTTCCGGCAATAGAAAGCTGGCATCAAGTCTCCCATCCAGTGGCTGTGAGCAATAGCCAGCCTGCTATTGGGTACTTTCAATTGCTCAAATCACTTGAGTTTCATAAATTGTTGACTTATGTGATCTGCTGAGAGCCAGAGGCGCTATACTTTATAATGACAGCTGCCACCACCCACAGCAGTTTGCAGCTTATTCACATGTTATCGCATAGTCTGTGATTAGCTGTGGGTGACGGCACCTGTATGTATGCTGTTTACATCCTGTTGTGAACATCCACAGGTAATCACAGCCTGTACAATTGCATTTAAATGGCTGCAGGAGGTGGCAGCTGTCAGTGCATTGTACAGTGTCTCCCGCCTGCAGCAGGCAGCATGAGTCTCTCCAAGGAATTTGTGAGCCTCGTGAGCAGCCCCATTTGTGCTCTTCACACAAGGTGGTATAGTAATTACGACGGTAATACGGGCGTGTTTTCATACAGTGTAAAATGCACCTTTTTATTTGTGGCCCCTGGGTGCCGCAGCTGCTGTGGGTTTCTGTCCATAGCAATGTATGAACAGAAAACCCTATACTTGGGTAAATGCTATACTTGTGTAAATATTGGCATCAACATTTGCACAAGCAGGGGGGCTAGGTCTCCAAACGTCACTTACTCCCGTGCGCATTCAAACGCTGTTTGTGGGCATACACCCGAGTACATTGTTTTCTGTCCATACATTGCTATAAGCAGAAAACCACAGCAGCTTTGGCTCCTAGGCTCTGCAACTACAAGTGTTTTTACTCTGCAATACATCTGCGTGCATGAGCCTTAAGAACACCAAATATACAAAATGTATACTAACGGAACAGTTTAAACCTATGTCCACATTTAACCCTTTGGGAGCCAGAGTGCCAACTTGATGATTGTTCCCCAGTATTAATGTCAGTGTAGATGTAGTACAGGAGTTAATGTAGTGGTGCACATGACTTTATTTATATATTTGTCACAGCATGTTACCAGACACTTCTATTTTAGCATCACCAGGATAGGCTTTACAGGTACAGTATATTTTGAAAGAGCATAACATTCACACTCGTTTTATTTTGTTTTAAAACAGAGATTGATAATGAAGGAGTTATTGCACCAGATGACGAGCCCCCTCAGGAGATGGGAAATGATGACTTAGAGGTAATTTTGCCACGTTTACATGGCATTTCTTTTGCTTCATACATTCTGAGGGATATAAATGTATTCACTTCATTTGGAGGTGTTGTACTTGCCACAGGCGGGTCAGCTGAAGCACACATGAGTATTGATATGATCCCTGGCAGTAAGCACCGCTAATACTTTTAGCAAGCAGATCCTAAACTACATGAGGTGTTTGCTGTGTACTTTTGGAAAGAATCCTCATATGTACAGTAAGCTAAGCACTGGGAATTGGTAAACAATGTCTCAGCCTTGGCATCAGATGGCTAGGGGGCAATTTGCAGCAAGTGTAGCCATCTTAGAGGTGAACAAACTTGCTACAGTAGATACATCTGTGAGGCTTTTAGCTGCTCTGTGTAAATATTATTTTTTGTTATATCTTATAATTCAGGTTACAGAGGAAATGATGGATACAGCAAATGAAAAGAAAGTAGAGGCAATTAATGCTCTAGAAGATGGTGAGTGTGCTTGCTATTGGGTTGGCATCTTTCTCCCCATAAAAACATATAATTGATAAATGTACAGATGTTACTGATGCTTGCATGGGTCTACTGATGTGTATTTATCAAATTACTATTATAATAAAAAATATATTTTGTACGTTATCCTTGTTGAGGATGCTTCTTCTTTCAAGGACCTGTCATATAGGAAATTGGTATCTTT